CCATGCGGTGTTAACTCCTCCTGTCAAAATAGTAGTGACTACACCTGGCAGATGGCGGTGTTGCAGCGGTTAAAGATTTTGTAAAATGGGTTGCATATGAAAAACAGCATTACGATCATAAAAAATATTATCATTATTTTTATTTGCACTGCAGTGATTAGGGTTGTCTACGTTCAAAAAATTTTTTTATTAAAATTGGTAACGATAATAATACTTATTTGTAATGCTTTTCATTGGAGAAGAAATCGGGAAATACCACGTGTAAACGTTCAAATGTCGCGTCCGTGACCGCGAAGCGCGTAAAGAGAAAAATAGAAATTGTCTGTAGTTATCAATGAGAGTATTTGAAAAATATGAAAATGTAAAGTTGGTTGTTATCATTTGTCATTCATAAGAAGAAAGCAGGAAAGAATTTTTGAAAAAGGTAAGTAAAGAAGTACAAAAAATGAAATGTTATGAACAAGTGGTGCATGCATAAATAGTGGTAGAATATGTGAAAAAATAGACAAACATGTTGTCCATTTACAAAAAGAAAGGACGGTGGAAGTACAGAATACTGTTTACGTGAGGAGCAAATACAGTAAAAAAATATTATGCATATAATATATACATACATATATACATACGTACTGTACCTACAAGTGCATGTGTGTACATATATGAAAAGATAAAGATAAAAGGCCTGCTTCGGCAACGTTGAAATGTATATGTTTTTTCTAAAGATTCGCCAACTTTATTTGTTTGGCACCTTTCAAATTTTCGATGAGGTACCTAGGTATCTCTTTAAAAACTTAAAAACGATAACAGATAAAGCTACCTGATAATTACCCGAAAACAAATAAATCACATAATATCACATATGTATAGGTACCTATTATGCTGTTATCTTATTAAAAGTGTGTTTATGAACAAAATGAAGTTATGCAAAAGTAAATAAGCGGGCACTTTCGTTTCTTATGTTAAGGTCATTTCTAAAGAAAAAAATAAAACAAAATCGGTACAACTCGATAGACGATACCGAGAAAAATGTGTTAGTAGTCTCATACATTTTTTGCATTATAAACATAAAATGGGCAAAGTCAGAAGGAAGGCTGATGGAACATTGTTAATATCTTATACTGCAAAGTAGAATTGAACTCATACTTGTTAGGTAAATGCTCCAATCTAGCAATTGTTATTGATATACGAGTTTCTTTTAAATATGTACACTACAATTGTTGACAAAATGGAAGTTATCGAAACACCAGTAAAAGTTGCATTCAATATTTTCTGTAACAGTCGAATATGAAAAGGAAGAAATGAATATTGTTTTAACATCTAATTACATGAGAAGAAAAGAAGTAGTACATAAATTGTACGGTTCAACGGTAATTGAAAAAATTGTAATTGCCTTGTCGAAAAAGCGTAAAATGCAATTTAGACTTATGCTATATTTGTTGGTATTATGCTTTTATCAGAAACGTTGTTCATTGAAGAAAAATTGAAATAGTTTTGTTTTTTGTATGAGATGTTCAACATACACGTATGATCTGTTTGTATATTATAATAAGAATATATGGCGTAGGTGTAATGCTAAATTTAATAAGGAAAAGTATTTCAATAACGACTAATAACTTAACGAATGTTTTGACTGTGGTAGGTATTAATAGTATAATCTACATTCTACAAAATAGACATCGTTATCGGAAGCAGTTTATTTATTTATGAAGTACCGACATGTACATTTCGTTTCGCTTGCGCGTGACCTTGCTTCCGTTGTAGTGCGAATTTGAACTTGGATTTGAAAGAAAGAAAATTATACGTACATAACTGATTGGTCGACAGTGATTTATTTTTCTTGTACTCAATTATACAATGGAACTAAATGACATGTGCTTGCAAAATGAAGTTTCATTAAATTCACTTGACAAAAAAAGAGTGAATAATCTCCTCATGCAAACTACTAATCCGGTAACTTGACAAAGTACAAATAACACCGTACCGAAAGAAAGTTTTCGTGTACTGTTGACATACATCCTGTAAATGAATTACATTTCTAATTTTGTTGCAGAAATAATTACAATATAGAAAACAACATTCGTAAATATGCAAATGACGAAATTATAAATATAAATATTCAATAATTTTCTTTCCATGATTGTACACTTGTTTGTGTAATATACACCTAATGAAGTACGCTAACATAGGGATAGGGATTTTAGTTGGAAAATTAGTTAAAGTTTACTGATTAAAATGAGGATAATAATAATACATTATTGTTTATAAAATCCAATTGGCAAAGAATTATAACTATGGCATATTTAATGGGAAATTTCCACAAAAACATGATTTTACAGAAAAGTTAACTTCAATCGTCTTCCTTGTCTTGTTATTTGTAGCGCAATTTTCTTTCTTCCTTCGCGTTCCATCAAAATGAAGCTTTTAAGTCGGAACAAATGCAATTTTTACCGATCACTGTAATGTATATGTTTCTCTGTCACTTTACAAAACGTACTATTTATTGCACAGTTGCGTTACGCATTTGTTTGTTTTAAAAAGTCAGTGCGTTATTTCTACTGCAAAGTATTGATATTATTTGCAGATAATCGCATAAAATACTAACATAATGTTTCCGAATGTGTTCTCTTGTAATTATGTATGGTTACAATTATCTCACATCTTTGTTTTTTAATTGGATGAAAGTGTATGTGTGTGTGTTATACGTATGTAAAAATTTGGATATAACTTACAAACACACCTTACATGGCCTTTGTGCGAAATATCGCAGATAATTGCTATATGTATATTGAAGTTGATGGCTATATGGATGTTGAAGTTGAATCAATTAAAAAACAATTTCAAAACAGCTAACTGCGATTACCTGTGTGGGATTTACATCTATGTAAATTGTTTTTACTGGTTTAAATAACTAAATAAATTGCATGTTGTTTACATTAGATGTCTTAATTAATAGTTGCGGCATCGTTTACATATTCCTATCACACATCATGTGGCAATTTCTGAAAACTATTCTGTTACAGAACAGATTATTTCCGTAACTTTAATTAAGTGCCCTTACTGAAGAATTTTACGTCAGCACGCCATGATACAAACAAACCGTTTAAAACAATTTTAAGACGTTACAGACATGTGTTGATTCTTAACAGAACGAAAGATTTGACATACAAATATATGTTTCCAATATTTCGAACTGTTTCGTTTATCAATGTAATAAGAACGATTTTGTTCCTTGGTCTTTACTCATGATTATTGTATTCCTTGTAATATACAAACATTTCGTCCTCTCTTTGGAAAATACTAATGTTTCAAATAGTATAATACCATCATAGTGGTATTGAATAAACGACATTGTATTTAGTAAAGTGAAAATCGTATCATTAGGAATAAATTTGTTGACCCGGAGGGTGTAATTGTTTTCTACATTTAATTGTATGTTTAGTTTTGTAGAGAAACAATTTATTCGTATCCCCAAAATACCCACAACATACTGTATCATTGCAGTGTATAATAATGTACTATTAAGTCATTTATACTGAATTAAGAAAATTGCATTCCCTTCGCTTGATAGTTTACTTATGATTACCTCTGCAGTAGTAATAATTATGAACACAACAAGATAATTTTAATTATTTTCACAGCATTCACAGTAACCGATGATCACTATCCCCCTATTACGAGCCCCTCCTTCAGTTGTCTTGGTAGAAAGCTTCACTAATGTCCAATATTTATGCATATTTTTTCTACAACTATTCTGTACCTTTATAACTACAATTTTCATTATTTTTACAGATTTCACAGTCACCTATCATCGCCGCTCCCCTACGACCCTCTCTTTTAGTTGTCTTGCCACAATTTCGGGTAAGTGTTTCCAAAAAGTTTGACCAACGTTCCATTTTTATGCATACCTTTTCTTGAACGTATTCCGTGCGGTACCTTTATACGTATAATTTTAATTATTTTTACAGATTTAACCGTCACCGATAATTTTCGCCACTCTACGAGCATCCCTTTAACTTGTCCTGTCACAGTTTTTGGTAAGTTTTCCAAAAAAGGTTGACTACACTTCAATTTTCATTCATACTTATCTACTTGTCGACCGTATTCGGTGCGGTACCTGTATACCTATAATTTTCATTCTTTTTACAGATTTCACAGTCAGAGATAATTTTCGCCACTCTA